AGTTATTTTGACCAGTAAAATTTTTATCCATTTAGAATTCCTCCCACGAAATTTCCTTCCAGAAAATACAATCTGGACTAAATATTGCCATATTTTCTTATAAGCTTCCTAAAATAAAACAACTAGTTATAGGAAGTTTTATATAATAAAAAGTTAGTAGTTTTTACTTATATTTATTTTTCTTCTTTAAAGTTGGATAACAGAACAAGATTCAGAGGAATAAAAGGATATTGAAGCTGCATTTTAAGAAGCAATCTTTGGGATATTTTGGCAGATTGAAAGACCAGAATTCTCTGGGTTTCCTTTGAAGCTATTCCTGGATGTGATATCATGAAATGATTGGTATTGTGAATATTAGAGGTACTGAATTGAAATTCAAGTCTGGCAGTTTTGTGGCTATCATATTGTAAATAAAATCTTTAATTTCAATTGATCTCTTTAATGTTGGGTATTATTTTTCTTGGAACTGAATTATTGTATAGTTTGATTCATTTTATAATATTAATGTTTCAATATGTAATATGATTGTACTTATATTTTTTAGTCTTTTAGCAAGTGTTCCACAACAATGCCAAATTAATTAGACAGCTTATTCTCATAAGAAATTATTGTTCTACTTCTGGAAAAGATACACAAGTGTGGAGTCATATAGTATAATGTAAGCTGGTACGCACTGAAGTAGATAAATGTATTTACTGCAAATGAGGTGGAACTCATTTTCTACAAACAGTGCAATTTTAGAAAACAAGCTCTAAAACTCATTTGAAAATGGTTAAAATTTGTGGCCTTCAGCTGGAACTGTTTAAAGCTATGGTGCCAACACATCTTAAGGACAGCAGACTGGAAAAGGCTAGCTGGTTTTACTTTTTCTCCAAAACATACTGCTGCTTATTAGAATGAATATTCTACAGGAATATTCTTCCTGCGCTCCATTATTTTGCTATTGATATTTAAACCTCTAATCACTTTTTATATGTGGTTTCTGTGGTAGAAATTGACAACACATTGCTCACAACTACTATGGTATCTTGTGTTTTCCAAGACGTGCCTGTGCTTCTCCAATAAAATTTTGGGTATCACTCTTGAGTTCATCACACCCAAGAATTATTCTCAAAAGCACGCCCTGTTCTCATGAGATTTTCAGAGACTGGGGACCATGCAAGACTAGGATGTGCTCTCACACAACTTTGGACCCTCTGGAACTCATGTGACAGGGCCACGCTCTTGTGCCTCCAGACTCAGAAAATGAGTTTGTTTTGTTCGTATTTTATTTTTATAATCATTTGATGTTTCTTTATATAATATATAGCACCACACATGATTAGAGTGTATTTTTTAAAAAAATAAATGAATATGTAAATAATAGTTTCTCCTTTCATTTTCTCTGGGGAATGGGGGGAGGAACATACCAGCAGAATCCATTAGGTATTTTCTGAATGTTTGACATGCCAAGATCAAAATCATGTGAAGTGTTAGTAGCACTTTATAATAATTATTATTAAATTTATATTGCCGCCTATTCACCCATGATGATTCAAGGCAGCTTACATAATTTAAAACCATATTAAAAAAACAATAAAACTAATAAAAAAATCAGATAAATTAATATAATAAAGTCACACACACATCCCCAGCGACAGCAGATCACACGAGCCATTTAATGGGCTCAATCCCACTGCGGGTTCCCTAAGCCTGCTGGCAGAACCAAGTCTTCAGCGCCTTCTGGAAGAGTATTAGAGTGGGGGCCGTTCTAATCTCTGGGGGAATGATGTTCCAGAGAGAGGAAACCACAATGGAGAAGGTCCTTCTTCTGGGTCCCACGAGGTGTATCTCCCTTGGGGATGGGACCCACAGCATTCCTTGCCTCCCTGCTGTAATAATGCCTTAGTAAGACCACACTTGGAATATTGCATCCAGTTTTGGTCACCACAATGTAAAAAAGATGTTAAGATATTACAAAAAGTCCAGAGAAGAGCAACGAAGATGATTAGGGGGCTGGAGGCTAAAACAAAGGAAAAACAATTGCAGGAATAGGGTATGTTTAGTTCAATGAAAAAAGGACTACAGGTGACATGATAGCAGTGTTCCAATATCTAAGGGGTTGCCACAAAGAAGAGGGAGTCAATCTATTCTCCAAAGCACCTGAAGACAGGACAAGAAGCAATGGATGAAAACTAATCAAGGAGAGAACTAACCTAAAACTAAGGAAATTTTTCCTGACAATGAGACCAATTAATCTGTGGAAGGACTTGCCTACAAAAGTTGTCGGTATTCCAACATTGGAGATTTTTAAGAAGTCTCTGACAACAACTTTTTTGAAATAGTATAGGATTTCTTGAACAAGGGGTTGGCCTAGAAGACCTCCAAGGTCCCATCCAACTCTGTTATTTTGTTATCCAGAAGGCAAGGATGCCTTTCCCTCTTTGGGTTTGTGCGCCGCCCTGAGTCCCGCAAGGAATAGGGCGGCATATAAATAAAATGAAACCTAAACCTATAATTCCAGCTACTGTTTGCCAATAAATAAATACATATATACATACATACATGTATACATACCAGTAATGGTATCCTATTATTTTCACTATTGGTTCAATAGAGGGAGTGCACACATGCGCAGAATGTCTGTGATGATGTCTGGGTGGGTGGGAGCCTTGCACTGCCGCCACTACCGGTTCTCCCAAACCGGTGCGAACCGGCAGCATACATACATACATACTATATTGGAACTAGATTCTCTCTGTTTGCCTTTGGTTAAAAGGCTTTACAGTAAAAATGCATACAGGTACAATAACAATGGAGGCCAAAATTTCCATTGCTAATCAAGACAGTTGTTAAGTTAGTTGTGCCCCATTTTATGACCTTTGTGCTGCAATTGTTAAATGAATCATTGCAATTGTTAAGTGAATTTGGCTTCTCCCAGTGACACTGCTTGCCGGAACCAGGCTAGGAAGGTTACAAATGGTGATTCCATGACCTCAGGAAAGTGTAACTGTTATAAATACATTCTAGTTGTCAAGCACCTGAATTTTGATCACATGACTACAGGGATGCTGCAGTGGTTATAAGTGTGAAAACCAGTCATAGGTCTCCACAATTGGGACCAGCATCTCCATTGCTAAGCAATACAGTTGTACACTGAAACATCTCATCATCACACCAGACTTATACCATCTGTTCTGCTGCTGTTGCTAAGTGAATCAGTCAGGTCTTCAATCGTGACATCACATGACCACAACTTGTGACTTCCTATTGCATACTGATAGCATGTATATTATTTTCAATTTAATGCGTAATCTTGATTGCTCTTAATATGAACTAAAAGGAATTATTTTCCTGTTTCAAAACACCCCATAGGGAACCAAGCTGATTTTAAGGAAGACTTTTTCAATTTTGTGCGTTTAAAAGACGTTATTCAGAAAAAGAGTCATTTCGAAGTGATTGTAGGTGCAAAGATGATCAGGAACAGCTTTGGAAATATTGAATGGATCTTAGTGAGAGTTGAGCATTGTACAAGTTTAATAAATAATCTGAAAAAAGATGCAGTCATTTTAATGATTCAAGGTGAATTGCTTCCTTTGTGCTCATGCATATCCTGAAATATCTTTTGTAAATGTTTTTATCCAAAATAGCTTATGAATGATATTTTTTTCCCATAATTTTGCTATTTTTGCAAATAATTGATTCACAGTACAATTGATACACAATTTCCTGGTCAGCTAATGTACTATGTATTAGCTCCAATTTCTGAAAAGCACTGTGTACTCTATTGTGTATGTGTGTGGGTGACATTTCTGAGATGATGATTATGAACCATCCTGTTTGTTAGACTGGATTTAGCTACTTCCAAAACAAAATGTACAAAAGTAGCAACACATATCTTTTAACTTTATTTTTTTCTTTCATGTTTATTTTCACTGTATACTAATTTTTAGTCTTCTAAGGAAACAGGAAACACTAGAAACACTAGAATGACTCACAAAATTTGAAATGAAGTTTGTTTATTTGTAAAACCATTTTGAAGCTTTTCAGTGAAAGGAGCCTAAATGCATCAGCAGAAGCTATAATTATTGCCTATTGTTAGGCATGTTAAGAGAGAAACTTCTACGGTACATTTCCCCTTTGTTTTGGAAAGGATGAGTTTACTTTTGTTTTATGTTTTTTGAAAATTGATTAGTAAAAACTATTTGCTGACTGCAAAGGAGCATGAAGAGAACCACGGAGATTAGCAATGAAACTAATGAATTGCAAAATCAAAATATTCTGTTGGGTCAGTGTGTCTACTAGCTGGGGAATTCTGGGTATTGAACAAATGTCTTAAATTTTCCAAGTTCGAGAAATACTGCTTTAGCCCATTCAGAATAGAATAGAATAGAATAGAATAGAATAGAATAGAATGATAGCGTTGGAAGGGACCTTGGAGGTTTCCTGGACCAACCCTCTGCTCAGGCAGGAAACCTATAGAATTTCAAACAAATGGTTATTCAATCTCTTCTTTAAAACTTCCACTGTTGGAGCATTAATCTGGTGGTGATGCCGTCTAATCCACATTTTTCTATCTTATCAAGTAGTAGGTTGTTGTCTATCAAGTGCCTTACTGAAGTCCAATTAAATGATATCCACAGCATTTCTCTGGTGCTGTAATTGTGTCACTTTATCAAAGAATGTGGTAAGATCAGTCTGCCATGATCAAACTAGGGCAGTTTGATTTTAAGAATACAGTATATACAACTAAAACGAGACGATAATGATGCTCAGATTCATACGAGCAGGCATTTCCTGTGCTTACGCACTATTCATTCAAAATGAGCCTCAAGGTCTTAAATGTTACATGCTGAGAGATGCCGTAAAAGATCAGGCCGCCACTAGATGGCGCTCACCAGAAGTTACGAAATCGCGCTCTCGGTCTCTCGCTCCCTCGGCTGCCGCCTCGCGCTCATCCGGATCCCCGCAACTGAGGCGCGCGAGCCCAGACCCCAAAATGACAGGGTGAGCGATCGGGCGGGCCTGAAGTGCGGCCCGCGAGGGCAGAGAAGCGGTGGGCGGTGCAAGCGCCGGAGAAGAACGGGAGGCGGAGGAGGAGCCTGGATGGATTATGGCGTCATAGCTGCTTGGGTGTATGCGCGTTGGGGAGCCCGGGTTGCTGCAGTAGCAGAAGAAGCTGCTGTCGGGTGCGAAGAAGAGCCACATCCGACGGGAAGGTGAGGTTGCTGCCGCAGCTCCTCGGACCTCAAAAGGGCCACGAGCCAGTCCAGCATGCCGCGCAAGGCTTGCTGAGGAAGCTGCGGCTCCTCTAGTCCGAGCGGGCGCGAGGTAAGGCGGGCGCCCTTGCAAAAACGGGATCCTTCCCTTCTTTCGCTGCTGCTGCTGGTCGCCTCCCGCGCTCTCGGTTGCAAACGCCGCTCCCCCCAGGAGAAGAGGGGAGGGGGGGTGGAAGCTCTGCAGCAAGAGTCCCAGCAAAAGAGGGTGAGGGGCGGTAGGGAGGGGTAACGGCGTCGGCGGCTTCAACGCCGCGTCCTCTCCCTCGCTTTGCGAGGAGCTGTCAAATAAACAGCAATGAGGGCGGTGGGATTCCGCGCTGCCCCGCTTCTGCTCAGAAGGGGCTGCATCCCCCCCCCCATTGTTCGGTTTTGTTTGGGCAACTTGGGGTGGGTGGGTGGAGGAGACTGGCGCGTGACGGGTTCTTGCTTTGCCTCGGCCCGCCGATGCCGGGGGGGGGGAAGGGCATGTTTAACCACCACGGATGTGCACGTCTCCTAGTAGGAGGGATGCTGATGTCTTTCTCTGGCGCTTGGTGTGTGATCCGATAGCTGCATTTGCCTGATGCAAACTGGAGGGCGTGCGCCGGACAGGATTGAATAAAAATAAAAATAAAAAAGGAGGAAGAGAAGATGGTTGTATATTGGCAGGTTCAGGGCTTTTCTTTTCTTTTCTAGGGCCTCCAGGGTTCTGTTTTGCGGAATGGGTTCCCGGAGTTCTTGCCCTGGAGCCAGGCTTTTCCTTCATTAATCTGGTTTCTTGGCATGGAATGCGATTACATGATATGTTCCTGATTCATCTGTGAATTGATGAGACCTTTAAAAGGATCGACTTGATACCTTCCCAAGATAGCCCTAAATCTTGTGACAAAAGATATTTGTTAAAACTATTTCACACAGTTCAGTGTTTCTTGAAGGGTGCTAGTCACCCAGGAGCTGTTATAAAGACTAGCTTAATTTTAGGCTTGGGTTACTAATTTTAAACGATTGCCCACACAGTCTACTTTTTACCGTGCCTCAGTAAAAAGACCCATAGTGTTGCTCATCTCTGGCCAATCTCAAATGAGAAGGTGCTGTTGCTAGAATAGTTCCTTCTCTTTACCTGGGGTCTACTGGGGGTTGGGATTAAATCTAAAAACCTTCTTGAATTGTTGGTTTATTTTTGAACCTTGATCTGACCCTTTTTAAGTGACACCAAACCTCCAGATGATTTGTAATATCTCATCCTATCTTGCCTTGGCCTGGTGCTTGATGTTAAATTAATTTCATTTGTCAGTTTCAGATGTTTCTGCTTTTTAGGATTACAGTAGGATTTTTAGGACTACAGTATTTCTATTTGTCAATGGGAATATCAACCTCCCAGAAGAACTGCATTTGATTTTACATTATATTGATATTGCTGTGTTTGAACTTAAGGTGGGGGGGAGAAAGCTGCAAGGGAAGTGTCTAGTCTCTTTGGCAGCCAAATATAAATGGATGTGCAGGCACAGAGCCCAGTAGTTTGATGGGAGAGGCTGGTCCATCTGTAACCCAGCAGTTCACTGACCTCTGGAGGGCCATCCTCCAATTGCCATTGTCCATGTGAAAAGTCTTTGCAGCTGCTAGGAAGATGCTTCCATTCTTCAAAAGCACCTTGAATTAGCTTCATCTTGCCTTAGCAATAGGTTGACCACAAGATGGAGGTTATAGTAATGTGGGCAGGTTAAAAGTGCAGAAGACAGAACAGGCAGCTGAACTTTTGTCATACATGGAGAAGATCTACAGAGATCAATGGGGGGGATAAACAGCTCAATTTCAGTTGATTGGGGGGGGGGGTCTGAGTATGCCTTGCATGGGTTCAACCCATGATCATTAAAAAGAATAATATTTTTGCTGGAAAGTAGAATACAAATGCTACTGATGCTTCCTGAAACAACTGAGCTTTAAAAATAATGTTAGCCAAACTTTTAATGAAACCATCCTGCAATAGTTTTGAATAGAATAACTGAGGTGTTTGCAATTTATCTTTATAAATTTTATTTTGTTAAAGACACAGCTATACAAACACATACATACAAATAGTAATTGTGTAAAATAACACAACTAATGATATGTAACTGTACAAGAAGTTACTCTTTGCTACAACATGCTCATGATTATGCAAAAAACTAAGGGTTGGATATTCTCTTAATATATACCAGAAAACTAGATTGTATTGAAGAAAAAATATTCCTGCTTAGTTACATTCTCGGCTAAGGCTATATTCCATAGTCTCTGGCTTTTAAATATCCTGCTTCATTCTTCATAACTAAGTTACAATATAGCTTGGCAGGAGACAATAGCTCTTTATTTGATGCTTCTATATGCAAGGTATTATATGGTGATAATAAAGTCAGTACTAGGGAAGGGGCTATCTCTTTCTGGGTTCACCGACAAATGCGTGATATGCACGCTGACAAAACCGCGATGGACAAATGAGCGCTGTCAAAATCGCTAATTGATTTTCGACAAAAGCGTGCCGACAAATGCGTGCCGACAAAATTGCATCATCAACAAATCGCATCATCAACGTTATAACACCCGATTTCGACGTTGCGTTTTAATCGGCGCTATTTTGTCGGCGTGCATATGTCTATCGCGCAATTGTCAGGTCACGCTCTTTCTGAATAATCCTGCAAAATAGATAGATAAATAGAGAGATAGCTGGATAGATACATATAGATAGAGATAGATAGAGATAGATACATTTATATAGATAGATATTCTTTTTAAATGAATAAGCTTTGCCACCTTATATGAAAGTAAGCACCAATCTATCAGTTCTCCTATGACATAAATTATACTTTTTAAATTACAATCTCACTGAGAGGAAGGGCAAGGGGAACACTATGAATTATTTTGAGATATATTCTGTTTTTGGCAGATACAGTTTGTTTTTTTTAAATGAAATATACAGTCAACTCTTCCAAATAGTTTCATCAATAGGTTCCAATATTATTCTCCAAATATTTTTAATGCTAGAAATTTATATACTTATCGATCTTTGAGACCAAAACTTTCGCATTTTTATCATATTGTAAAATTAATTTCTGTGTAATAATTGTCTTTCTTACATCTGATTTAACCTTGGAGTTAGAAATAAAATATATTCATGTTATTATGTTAAGCCATTAAAATTAGCTTATTTTAGATCTTTGGGATTGTCCTTTACTATACAGACTCTTTAATCAGTAGAGACCTGCTGAATCACATTGTTTAGGATCAAAGGTTGTCTGACAAAACAGATTCACTATTTTATTCTTTGCCTAGTTTAGCTTTAAATTTAATAGTGATAGTACAAGTTCTGTATCACATTTCTTGTCATAATTATGCTAATTGTTTGTCTACCATTTTAAAAGGCCATTTTAAATTAGGCACATATAGCATTTATAGATAGCAGACTTCTGTGCTGTACTTTTTTGCTTCCATATATATGATTTTTTTCATTGTACGTTATAATTTTCCGGGATGTCATTTGATAACTCCTGGAATTGCTCTTTCTATCTCAGGAGGAAATTCTTTTAATTGCAGATCTTTCCCCAACCAGAAGTATTGTAATCAAGGTTACTTATCTCTCAGTCTGATAGAAATAAATCCTGATGAAATTAGTTGTGTTTATCCTAGAAACCTTTTTTTCCACAGCTGCAAGACTGCCACCCACATTCTTTAATCCTGGTTTTCTAACGGGTTTATTTATGCATCATGTGTTTTCTCCTATTTATGTTGAACTTTATATACGTAGTTGGATTCTTTGCAAAATGCAAACATGGTTGTACATGTTTGCTTGTAAAAATGTTAATCTTATATTTCCTGGTAGCTGATAACAGCTTCAGGAGATGTTTCATACATTAGAAATCAATGGTGGGATTCTAATTTTTTCACTGCTGGTTCTGAGGGCGTGGCTTGGTGGGTGTGGCATGGCTTGGTAGGCATGAACTGGTGTGCATGGCAGGGGAAGGATACTGTAAAATCTCCATTCCCTCCCCACTCCAAAGGAAGGTTACTGCAAAATCCCTATTCCCTCCCGATCAGCTGGGACTCGGGAGACAGAGAATAGATGGGGGTGGGGCCAATCAGAGATGGTATTTACCGGTTCTCCGAACTACTCAAAATTTCCACTACCGGTTCTCCAGAACTGGTCAGAATTTTGAATTTGAATTTGAATTTG